AAGTGACAGGTGTATGAGCAGGGGGCTGCTTTAAGTTAGTTACACCGTAACACTCGCTTTTAGAAAGAAGCCAAAGAGTTGGAAGGAAAGAAGAGGAGAGAGCAAGAGAGAGATAGAGGCCATCTGTTCCTCCTTTCTGACCCACTGCTCTCATCAGAAACAGCCTTTCCAAATTAAAGTCCAATCACCAAGTGCACTAATGCCGCTGATTACAACACGTGCTCCCTGCAAGAAGGAGAGATCAGAGCCAGCTAAAAAAAAAAAAAAGTTCTCCAAGTACAAAATTAACCAAAGTGATGACATTTAAAATAATGACAAAAATGCCACGGACAGCCTGTTAATGAGCAGAATGAGAGAGCTTCTCTGGAGGACTGCACTGCTTTTACATGAAAAATAACAAAGATAGAGCGGAGCTCACTTGAGACCTGATTTACGATGGTGTTAAAAAGTCTTTGCCCCCTGAGTTCTTCTTCTTCTTTTTTTTTTTGTGCATGTTTGTCACACTTTTAATATTTCAGATCATCAAACTGATTTAAATATTAGTCAAAGGTAACACAAGTAAACCTCATGGAGTTTTTAAATGACGGTTTTTATTATTAAGGGAAAGCAAAATACAAAACTACATAGTCCGGTGTGAAAAAGTGTAAGCCTCCCAAACTTACAGTAATAACTGCTTGGTCCACCCTTAGCAACAGCAAATGCAATTAAGTGTTTTCGATATCTTGTAATGAGTCTGTTACAGCGCTGTGGAGGAATTTTGGCCGACTTATCTTTGTAGAATTGTTGTAATTCAGCCACATTGGAGGGTTTTCAAGTATGAACTGCCTTTAAAAGGTCATGCCACAGCATCTCAATTGGATTTAGGTCAGGACTTTGACTAGGCCACTCCAAAGTCTTCATATTGATTTGTTACATTTGTTTTGTTTGTTTTCTTTGACTAATATTTGCACAGGTTGGCACAGTGGGGGGGCGGCATGGTAGATCAGTGGCTATATTATATTATATTATATTATATTATATTATATTATATTATATTTTATTATATTATATTATATTATATTATATTATATTATATTATATTATAGTATATTATATTATATACAGCGCTGTGGAGGAATATTGACCCACTCATCTTTGTAGAATAGTTGTAATTCAGCCACATTGAAGGGTTTTCAAGCATTTAAATGTCATGACACAGCATCTTAATTAGCCTAGTCAAAGTCCTGACCTGATTCTACTCCAAAATCTTGACTAATAGTTACATTTTGTTTAATAGTCTTTGACTATTAACAAGTTAATAAGTTGAAAACATCATGAAATTGCAGCATTAAATGAATTATTACTATACACTTCATATTACAATTCAAAGTGCATTGAATTATCTTAAAATACACATATAATACATGAAATACAATACAATACAATAAAGAAAATACATTTTTAAATATCATAACTAAAGAAAAAAAACATTCATTCATTCATTTAATTAATATAAAAAGAAAAAAAATAAAGAAAATAAATTTTTAAATACCATAAATAACTAAATAAATAAAAAAATATTTATTTATTCATTAATTCACTCATTCATTTGGTCATTAAATTATTATAAAAAAATTAAGAAAATATTTTTAAATATAAATGATAAATAAATACATTCATTGTTTTATTCATTCATCCATTTATATAATATAAAGAATGAAGAACATTTATTTTTAAATATCATAAATAAATAAATAAATTCATTCATTCATCCATTTAAATAATATAAAAAGAAAAAATAAAGAAAATACATTTTTAAATATCATAAATAACTAAATAAATACATTCATTCATTCATTCATTCATTCATTCATTTGATTAATATAAAATAAAAAAAGAAAATAGATTTTTAAATATAAATAACTAAATAGAAAACAAATACATTCATTCATTTACTTAATATAAAAAGAAAAAATAAAGACAATTCTTTTTTAAATATCATAACTAACTAACTAAATAAATTTATTAGTTTGTTTATTCATTAATTCACTCATTCATTTGTTAATTTAATTAATATAAAAATTAAGAAAATACTTTTTTAAATATCATAAATAATAAATAAATAAATAAATAAATACATTAATTCTTTCAATTATTCATCCATTAATATAATATAAAAAAATAAAGTATGTTCATTTTTAAATATCATAAATAAATAAATTCATTCATTCATTTAAATAATATAAAAGAAAAAATAAAGTAAATATTTTTGTAAATATTATAAAATCCTTAAATTAAATTAAATTAAATTAAAAATAAAGAAAATAAAAATTTTATGGAAATAATAAAAAAAAAGTAAATTAATAAATAAATTCATTCAAATTAAAGAAAATAAGAGAACAAATTTAGAAAATGAAAAATATTTTAAATAACTTAATAAAACAAATAAATTTTAAGAAATGTAAAGTATTTGTTCAGTTATTACTATTTAAATAAGATTAATATTTGTTCAATCATTCAACATTCATAACGAAACAAACAAACAAAAAGGTCAATCTATCGCTCATTTGAGTCATAAACCAACGATTCCGATTTCTGTCCAGCCACAAATGCTGACAAGTCATGTCTAAGTGTGACGCGTGTGATTTAAAGGTAATGTGTTGCTCTGTGGTTCCTGTGGGACGCTGGAGATGTTTTGTGTTATCTGTTAGTGCTCTGCCCGACACGCGTCCAGCTGGCAACTGGCATTTCTTCAAATTGAAGGTGACTCCTTGTTTACCCATTTCCAACTAGTCGGGTGTGTTGAATGTAAAGCATGGATTCAGGGTCTCTGGGCTTACAGGGTGGGTAAAAGTGGGTCAGGTGAGCGTTTCCACACACATCTGTCACATCTTCCCTCGTCAGGTGTCATGCAAATCCCTAATCACACTCCCAAATGGAGGAGACGAGTAGCATGTAGTTTACTAGGGTCAAATCTAGCGTGATTTGGTCTTCGGATACAGTCACGGGGAAATAAAAAAAGAAAGAAAAAAAGCTTGTTCCTTGGTGACCTTGATTTGTACTCTGAAAACAGTGTGTCTGGTCATCAATAAAGCAGACTGGTGGTCAACAATATGGCTCTACATGCTTCATCAGGATACAGTTATTACAGTTATAACTTGTAATAAATATGTTACAGTGCTGTGGAGGAATTTTGGCCCACTCATCTTTGCAGAATTTATGTAATTCAGCTACATTGGAGAGTTTCCAGCATGAACCATATTTTTAATGTTGTGCCACAGCATCTCAATAGGATTCAAGTCAGTACTTTGATTAGGCCACTCCAAAGTCTTAATTTTGATTTGTTGCGTTTGTTTTGTTTGTTATCTTTGACTATTATTTGTAATATTATATTATATTATATTATATTATTTATATTATATTATATTAATTAAAAACTGTCTGTAATCTCTCTGTAGTATGCAATACATTTGAACATTTTTAATATTTTAATATTCATATTTTATTTGTTGATTGTATAAAATTCATAAATTTTTATTAATTATTTAAATTATTACAAATACAATCAAATATACTGTCTATTACATTTTATATCATATTTTATTAATGTTAAAAACAATAATTATTTAATTATTTATAATAATAATAATTATTATTTTTTTTATATCACAAAGAAGACGTCAGTGACAGCATTATAATCAGGCACCAGCCAAATCTAATTTTTTAATCGCAACTATTTTTCAGTAAACACCAATTTGTCCATCCTGTGTATTTGTTATTCAGCAGCTGGTAGTGTTTAACGCTGGGTTAAATTGTCATATTGATTGAGCCATAAAAGGTTTCAGACTCATGGAGGAGCCATTAGCTGAACATTTAGCTGAATATTTGCAATGGTTTTGGCTCTTGTCTTTAAAGGACAGACATTTTAGGCCAGTTTAACTGATGTTTTCAAAAGTTGAGTACTCGTTGGAGCCAATGGTGTAGTGGTTTGTGTGTCGGCACATGGCCCTCCGGTGTTCAGTGCAGCTAATGTTTAGGTCAGTGCAGCAGATGTCTTTAAAAGTTGAGTGAAAAAAAAAAGCGAAAGAAAATAAGGATTATGTTTTGTTCTTGTTGTTGTTGTACTGACTTAAAACTTTACAGTGTGTATTAAGCAATTTATCAACTTAACTTAAAAAAACACGCTGGCTCACACTGTGCAATTTTCTTTCTTTCTTTCTTTCTTTCTTTCTTTCTTTCTTTCTTTCTTTCTTTCTTTCTTTCTTTTGCCCATACCAAGCAAGCCAGGGGTGAGGAACAAAACTTCACCAATTGATGAAAGTGAAGGAAAAAACTAGAGAGAAACCAGGCTCAGTTGGGCACGACCATTTCCAAACTTCTAGAGCTACAGTCTAGGTGCCGGAGGCTAAAGAACATAATTTTACAGTGAACAAATATAAAAAATATATATAAAAAATATATCCATAAATAAAATATATTCCTAATCACTGCATTTTTATCTATTCTTGTGAATTGTATTATGGGATCTTGATCTTTCCTTCAATAAATTTTGATCTTGAAAAGTCTGAAAAAGTGACTTTTATTAACATCTTTTAATAGTTTGAAGTGATATATTCGTTGTATTGTTGTTGTAAATTACAGTGTAAAACCCTAATAATAAACTGCCAGTACTTTTACTGTTTACAAACTTAATTCTCTCTATATTATGTCTTAATTTATTGTTTCAAACTACTTAATTATCAATAAAAGTCACTTAAACTGAATTTTCAGCATCAAAAATCGACAGAACAGAAATCAAGATCCTATAATGCAATTCACAAATTCATAAATAAATGTAAAAATAGAAGCACAAAATAATAAAATGTTAATTAGCGAATTGTTTTATTTATTCATTATTTTTTTACACTGAAGAAGACAATCAAAATGTTTTCAGCTTATATATAGTAACTGAATATACTGGAGATATGCGCATGACTTGAATAATTTTAAGTAAATTTTTTTTTTATGTTTATATTTTACAGTGAATCTCCTTGACACAACTAAAATATCAGGAGACTGGGGCTGGCTCACATATCCTTCACACGGGGTAAGAAATTCAGCTTTATTTAACGTTTATTATCTGCGGTTTGACATTTGGAGGTGTTATTGTTCCGTTAAGAGGCAAAACACTCATATATTGATGTTCTGAAGTGTCTAAATATTGTTTTGTTTGTTTGAACTGTTCAACACGTAAATCGGCAAGTGCTATAAAAAAATATCTGTTAATTAACAGTTGATGCATTTCGTGATTAACTGGTGTTTTCGGTTTATTTATGATTGTGAATTGCATTATTGGATTTTGATCTCTGCTCTGTTGACTTTTGATGTTAAAAATTCAACTCTGCAGTTTAACAAAGTGACTTTTATTGACATTTTAGTAGTTTGAAATAATACAATGGATAATAAATAGCACAGAGAGGAATAAGCCTGTAAAATAGCAGTTTATTACAAGGGTTTGTAGCATAATATACAACACCAACCCAGACAATAGAGCACTTTAAACTGTTAAAATTGTTAATAAAAGTCCCTTTTTAAAACTTTTCAACATCAGAAGTTGTTGGAGGAAAGATCAAGATCCTATAATGCAATTCAAGATCATAAATAAACTTATTAAAGTCTATAGATATTTTTGTTAATTCAAATTAACCAATTTGTTTAAAGAAATAGTTTGCAAACTTCAAAATGTTTCTGAGGGTGCACTCACACTATGCTATCTGAACTGTGCCCAGGCGCATTTCCTAGTTCATTTGACAAGGGTGAGTTCTCCGAATCAGGCCTAGGTGTGGTTCAGTCGACCAACCTTGGCCCGGTTTGAAGAGGTTTGCCAGAGTGCGGTTCGGTTGGGCTTTTGTGCAATACGCTTGTAGTGTGAGTGCAAAGCGCGCCTGAGCCCGAAACTGAAAGCAAGACGTGATGTCATTTTTATAAAGGGCATTTATTTGAACTCTTTTAAAAGATGTAATTCAAAGTGTCTACAGAACATGTCTGTAAAGTTTAGCTCAAAATACCCATCAGATTTTTTATTATATAATGTTGAATGTTAAAGGCGAGGCAATGGCGCAGTAGGTAGTGCTGTCACCTCACAGCAAGAAGGTCGCTGGTTCGCTGGTTCGAACCTCGGCTCAGTTGGAGTTTCTGTGTGGAGTTTGCATGTTCTCCCTGCCTTTGCGTGGGTTTGCTCCGGGTGCTCCGGTTTCCCCCACAGTACAAAGACATGCGTACAGGTGAATTGGGTAGGCTAAATTGTCCTTAGTGTATGAGTGTGAATGTGTGTGTGTGTGAGTGTGAATGTGTGTGTTTCCCAGAGATGGGTTGCGGCTGGAAGGGCATCCGCTGCGTAAAAACTTGCTGGATAAGTTGGCGGTTGTTTCCGCTGTGGCGACCCCGGATTAATAAAGGGACTAAGCCGACAATAAAATGAATAAAATGAATGAATGAATGAATGATAAAGTTGGTGCCTGAGTACAGTGTAGCTGTTTTAAATTAATACTTAAAATAATACATAACAATAACTAAAGCGATGTCCACTGCACTGATTGAGAGAGCTTATTTTCCTAACCGAAGAGTTGCATTATCAATGACTTAAGCATGCTCAGGCTCGGAAGGTAAAAGGCAATGTGAGTGTGGGCCATCGGGGGAGAAGGTAGGGTGGACAATCACACCTCGGCATCACCCTAGTGTGAGTACACCCTAAAACTGCTTTCTGATTGGCTTGTTTAGTTGTAATTATTTAGAGCCGTTTTCTCTGACTACTTTGTACTGAAACTGATTTAACTGTTGTATAACTGTTTATATCGAAGTTAAAGTTTCCAAATTTCTTTAAAATGTCTTATTTTGTGTTCAACAAAATCACAAAACCTCATAAGAGTTTAAAAGAGGGTGACTAAATGGAGAGTCTATTTAAATTCTTGGGTGAATGATCTGGTTTTCGAAGTGTTGCTAATTTAGTGATGACTTGGCTACGATATCAGATCTGTCTTGTTAGCTGTGTTAGAGTCGGTGGCACAGAAATTACATAATGCAGCTGTAAAGACTGCATGAAATCAGAAATGACCTATTTGCTTTCTTAATTCATGTCACTGGCTTCATTGTGAACAGCTGGTGCACATTATTCGAGAGAATAAAATAAAAAGATACTTCTAAAGATGATGGGAATATTGGAGAAAAAAGTACTGACTTGATTCACCTGTGAAACCTATTTCAGACTGGGCCCGAATGAAAGGAAAAGGAAATTCTTTATTAATGTGGTCAATAAAAAAACATGAATTAGTGCTGGACAAAGATTAATTAAAAATAAAAGTTAGTTTTGACATAAAATGTGTGTGTGTGTGTGTACAGTACGTGTTTTTGTGACATATCAGGACACAAATCTGTATAATGACATGGGTATGACACAGGTATTACAAAAAGGAGGTGAAATATGAGGACATTGGTGACGTCCTCATTTCTCAAAATGCTTATAAATCACACAGGATGAGTTTAATCAGAGAGTAAAGCTGCACACAGTCTCCTGTGATGGTTGGGTTTAGGGTGGGGTGGGGTGAGAGCAATAAAATATACGGTTTGGACAGTAGAAAATGAATGGAAACCTATGTAATGTCCCCACTTTTCACAAAAACAAACGTGTGTGTGTGTGTGTGTGTGTGTGTGTGTGTGTGTGTGTGTGTGTGTGTGTGTGTGTGTGTGTGTGTGTGTGTGTGTGTGTGCGTGCGTGCATACAGTGCATCTGGAAAGTATTCATAGTGCTTCACTTTTTCCACATTTTTTATGTTACAGCCTTATTCCAAACTGGATTAAATTCATTTATTTTAATTATATATATTTTATATCTAAATGTAAATAGCAGATACAGGATATCTATCTAAAGATGTTAGATATACTTATTCTATACTTAATTAAACATATCAAAAAGTTTCTGATCATATACCAACATTTATTATGTTTCAATTATTAAAAACACACTGATTAATTGGTAATACATGAAAGTTAGTGTCAAAGTGTGGACATTAACATTAGTAGCATTAGTATTTTGAGGATTTGTGATGCTTTTTTCTGTTGGTGCTTGAAAATCTTGTTTCATTATGTTGGCTTTAAAAAGCCAACATACTGTTATACTACTCTGTCCTTGAAAACAAACGTATCTCCTCCTAGGCCGTTCATGCCACAAGGCCCAAATGTGGTCAAAATGTGCCTTCTGCATTCAAGATTGTTGCTATATCTCCTCATGCCTATAAGACTTATCGTTTTTTAAATAAAAAAATTTTAAACATTAAACTTTTATAATCCGGGCATATAAAAAAAATTATACAAGCCCCAAATTTGGCCAAAAGCTGTATTTAGATGCATTCGATTTTGTTGCTATATCTGTAAGGTTTATCAGACTTTAAGTTTTCCAATAAATAATTTTTAAGCATTATTTTTCTCAAAATATGGCAAGCCATTTTTGACTTAAACTCCATATTTTTTACTGATATGGCAAGCCATCTTTGCATGTATCACTTTCACACTTAATAAGCATTGTATTTTCAAAAAAATACGGCAAGCCATTTTTACATAATGTTTACATAAACATAAATCGCAACCCAACACCAGGAATACATAATGTTCAAGTCCAGTTTTTGACACTCATAAAGACTGTCATAGAAACATCGGGGTTGGTTTAGATCACTCATATAGCCAAGAAGCTTTGATGTATCATCACTAACCTGTCAAATGTCCCCATAGCAATAAAACAGTATAACCTAGCAACCATTTAAAAATAGCAATATCTCTACATCAGAACATCGTAGGGACCTGGGCATTGGCTTGTTTGACTCATGCTAGCAAACGGGACTTCCTGTGTACTATGCATGGTAACAATGATAATGGAAGCCAAGTGCTAATAACGATTCGCTACATGCTATGAATGATTATCTAAATACAATAACATATGATAGAAATGCCTACTAAGTATTAGCATTTGATCAAACATGTACAAGAGCATTGCCATTTAGCAACTGCTTAGCAACCACCTAACAATGCCATAAACATTTTAGCAACTGCCTAGCAACCGCTTAGCAACCGCCGCCGTGCTTCCTGCCAACTGCCATTCCCAGTCCTAGTGCAGTCACGTTGGCTTTCTCAAGCCAACATCAAAGTTTATCAATGAACTTTAGGTTCTAGTTTATGCTTGTTGCTTTAATTTCTGTCGAGTTTGACAGACTCCAACGATTATTCCAGCAATTATTTTATAATATTCAGCATATGAAGCAACCTGTCCCCGACAGCGCATATGCTGAAGACACAAACATATGCTACATTCATTCACGCACGCACACACACACACACACACACACACACACACACACACACACACACACACACACACACACACACACACACACACACACACACACACACATCTACACACACACACACACACACACTTTTTTTTCAACGTTCTGTAAAATAAGCTAATAATAGGTGTGTGAATGTATATTTAAAAGTATTATTTGTATATTTGTGTGTGATTC